GCCAGCCGGGGATTTAGCTCAGGGTTCCACCACCTGCCTTGCAAGCTCAAGGACCAGAGTTCAATCCCCGGTACCAAAAAAAACCAAAAATCAACAAAAAAAGAATTCATTGCCAGCCTGGGCTACATAGTTCAAAGTCAAACTGATTTGCATAGTGAGACCTAGCAAAAAAAAAAAAAAAAAAAAACCAAAAATTTATAAATTAAAAAAAAAAAAAAGAATCCAGAATCCAGCAGCTTCTGTCAATCTGCAGGCTAGTTACATACTGCTCCAGATCCCCGTTAACATGGAGGAACAGAACTAAAATCAACAAAAGTCTGAATACCTTGAGGAGTATAAACCGACAAGTTTTCTTTGACAAGTCCTATCTTGTACACTGGGGGGAGTGTTTGTCAATAACCAACTGTCCATGAACAGCATCAAATGCTTCTGTTTTACTCTCCTTACAAAGTACATCAATACTTGTCTAATCACCAGGCTTTTCCATCAAATCAGCATGAAGCCCAGTCACTAAGAGCATGTGATGAAGACTTCAGGCATTGCTTTTTCAGAGATGTAGGAGATTTTGAGTTACCAGTTAATCTTGGACCACCTCCATATCTGCTGTAGAAAATGTCTGCTGCATATTCAGAAATTCTCTTCATAATTGAGATTTTGTCTGGATGAAGTTTGTCGTGGGAACACAGGCAAGCATGGTTATCAATAGGCTTGGTAGGTGTTGATTCATCCAACCACTTTTGCAGCCATTCAAGAGAGACAAACTCATAGGGCTCTGCAGAAGAAAGCAACGAGAGGAAACTATGTATTTTTAGTTTTTGGACCAAGTGACACAGTCATTTTCCTCAAACAATGCAAACTCTGTTCAAAGTTAGCAAAAATCGTAAGAGTCACTGATTGAAGATCTGATGCATGTGACAGAAAGCCGCAGTGTAGGGGCCATGTGTGTAAACAAGTCTGCACAACACCCTATGAGACTGAACAGCAAGCATCTTAAACCACATTCTACAAGACGCGTCCACAGAGAGAGCTGTCCTACAGAGGTTTGATAAGGACCTCATGTTAGCGAAACACAAGCCACCTCCATGCTGGCTCGTGAATCTCATTACCTCATTCCTATCGCGTTTATGTCATAAATTATTTATTAACACTTTCCACAAACACAGGATATACCTCTGGAAAATTAAATGGAGATCTACATTTGATACTTAACTGCCTCAGCTGAAACGACTTCATTTCTGCCCCCATTTAATCACAGAACTTTTGTGTCCACAATGATTAGGATGTCAGTTTTTTTTCCCCTCCAGACAGGGTCTTGTTATGTCACTCAGGCTGGCCTTAACTCAGTGAGTGACGCTCCTGCTTCAGCCTCCCTTACAAGTGTGTGCCACCATGCCCAGCAATGTGATGTTAATTGAGTATTTATACCCTTGCCCAAATCCAAGCCATGATCTAGTCACTTCATTATTATTTTAGACAAGTTTCAAGATGAAGCACGTTAGAACTAAATTACCACCTATTTTGAAGCTGCAAAAGTTAAATGAAAAAACTAAATGCTTTAACATGGGTTTAAATTGGGGAAAGGGGAATCCCAGAGTTCTCTAAAAGCAAAAATTAAAGAAAAAGGGACAGTTTTGATTACTTACAAAGATTTCCAGTGAGTCCCAGCATAAAACATAGAAAAAAACATACAGAGGTTGAATTTATGTATTTATATTATGTACTACTCCTGATGAGTTCTGAGACAGATGCTTTAGTGCAAAGACCATCTGGACTCATTTCAGACTCAAGAGTCAAACATGTACAAAACTCCCATTCTCCTTTTAATGAAAGACATTTTGACTCTTACGAAACAAAATTTGGAGCTCTCACCCCACGACTGGGCTAAAAGGGACATCAAAGAGCCCTGTCACAGGAAAAGCACAGAGCTGCCAAGAGGCCACCGTCTAACCCAAGTGGTGCCACCAAGAACTGAACTTGAGCAAGGTCACTTAAAACTCTATACTTCAGGTCTTTTATCTGTGAAATGAAGGTAATAATACCTGCCTTCTACCTACCTCACAGGGAATGTTGTTGAGTATAAAAGATAAGGGAAGCATTTTGAGCTTTTTAAAAGAAAAGAGATACAGAAAAAGTTAATTATACATCAAGACATACATAAGAGGAAACTTTAAGATGCAGTACAGGCAACAAGGTTGTAGCATCTTACAATTGTTCATGGTATGTTAATAAATATGTTCAAAACACCTCCAGGTTTCAAGGTTAAACTTCAAGAAAAAGTGCACCGGCTATCTGAAAAACTGGACGATAAATGATCCCTACCTAAGAACGAGGTAAGTCTTAGCAAATCTTTTCCTGACAGAGATTATAACTAGGAATAACCAGCAGACTCCCAAAGGTCAGAAAATAGGGTTAAAAAACAGTAACATCCTACAGTACTGCCCTAGGTGTGTGTTTCCCCAGGCACTAAGAGGCCAATACCTGCCAAGACTAACTGGGGGGGAAAAAACCCTATCAATCCCACTCTTATAAGGAAAGGAATGCAGGGAAGTGAAAGTGTAGAAGACACTCCTCACCAGTGATAGGTACAGGAATTCAAGGCCAAGGGTCAGGTAAGCCTGACCATTGGGCAACGGTATGACTGACAGGTGGGTAAATACAACACTTTCCAGTCCCAGAGTTCAACATAAAAACTTCCAAGTGACACCTGCTGTTTTTGGTTTTGAAATAGGATGCCCCGACCTGAAATCAATGCTAATTACAAGGAACTGAAAAACCACTTTTTGATTTTATAGGAGGAGGAAAGACTGGAGCAGAAACTGGGTCGAAAACTCTATCTAATACGATACTCATTATTAACTCAAACACTGTTCCAGATTTGCTTTCATTTCCAGATTACACTTGGTGGGAGATCCCTAGAAGTAACAGTGGCTTTGGGCACACAGGTCTCTATTTCCACTTTCAATTTTAAAAAAATTTTTTGTTTTGAGACAGGGTCTCACTGTATAGTTGAGACTGACCTGGAACTCACTATGTAGACCAGGCCAGTCTTGAACTCACAGCAATCCTCCTGACTCAGCCTCCTGGAGTGCTGGGATTACAAGCGTGTCCCATCACGCCCGGCTGAACCTTTTATTAGAGCTACATGGATCTCTCCAAGAATGTTCCTGAGAACATGGGGCTGGAGCACAAGGCTCTTATAGCAAAATATTACATTGTTGGTTATTTCTGCTCTATACAAAGACTCCTTTGCAGGGTAATCCAACATGTCCCCTGTTTAGTCAATGACCTTAAACACTGCCATCTGAAAGTATAGCAGGAGTTTAAAAAGTAGGAGTAAGAACTCTAACTCGTTTCCCAATTGAGATAGAAGACAGCGTGAACCTTCAGCGTTTGATGATCCAGAAAAGCAATTACTATTCCCAACAAGAAATACTAGAAATAACTTTGAATCTTAATTCAAAATACAAACCCGCCCCCCAAAACAGCCTGGATTTTGAACACAAATTTCCTTTAAAAGATATGAAATCAGGACAGTTTTGGTGTCAGTATGTGAAACACTTTAGAGACAAGTGACTATCTCGTATGAAGGGTCAAAAGAATTTATGTTCCCAGTGAAGGCAAAATTCTGGGACATGAGCCTACATAGGTCCACAAGATAAAACTCAGAAAATGCATTATCAAAACACGGTCTTCCACTGCCTGCCCTGCAAGCACTGAATCCCCGGTACAAAAACAAACAAAAAAAAAACACTGGCACTTCAAAACTAGTCACTAAGATTTTATGATGGGGCTACATAGGTTTCCCATGACATAAATTTGTGATAGACTGAAAAATACAAAGTTCATGTTCTGAGAATATTCTAAATCACAAGCACAGGTTCTTACACACTGAATGAAAAAGCCACCAGAAGCCCATTGCTATCTGCCAAGAAACATCATTGGACCACACAGCTCACAAGAGCATTTGTTTCTCCGTCTTCCTTCAGCACCGGGATCCAATCCAGGGCCTCGTGCAAGATAGGCAAGTGACTGACACCAGCCCTGACAGCAGCACTTTTCTTTAGAATCATGAAATCCTTTTCTCTTGAGCAGAATATAAGAAACTGTGGATAAAGTTCAGAAAATATAGCTGGGCTTAGTGGCACATGCCTGTAATCTCAGGAGTCTGGGGAGCTAAGGCAGGAGGATCAAAAATTCAAGCCCTGTGCAACCTAACGAGATTAGCTTTGAAACATTTCAAAGGGGCTGCAGATATAACTCAATGGGGTGGACCTGGGTTCAATGCACAGTACTACTCAATAATAAAATAACAACAACTCAGAAAACAGATTCCTAGGCCCCTATTCCTCTGAACAAAGGCAGACAAATCTAGAGGTTGTGAATCATGGGCTAACTCCAAATCATTTTCCACTCGGGTTTTCTGGGACAATTTCAACCCTTGCATAGAGTTAGACTAACAACTTACAAGGGGTCACAGTATAAAGACTATTTGGAGAAAATGCCTTGCTTCCTTCCTTCCTTCTACAGTGTTTGCAGTGCTGGGGATTGAATCCAGTGCCTTAAGCTCATCTTAATGCAGTAAAACACTAAGCTAAACACCCGGGCCTTAAAAATAATGTCTAAACGCTACGTTTTACATATTTAGCAATCTATAGTTATTTCTGATTTGTTTTACCAGTAACTTAAAAGATAGAGACAAAAACCACCAAGCACATTTATGCTTCAATATTTATTTTCTAACTCACATCTAAATTCTCTTTTGTAAGACTTAAATACGAGAAATTCATGCCTGTGAAATGACAATTTATTGCAAATGAAGAAAAATCAGCCTTAAAAATAATGGTTGGTTTCCAGTGTTGTTCTTTTGGGGACATTTGATAAACTGGAATACAAACAGTCAAAGAATATGGGGTAATCCTAGGAATCAAAGATGAACTCTATAGTTTTTCTACTCTCTCTGTAACATTTGATACTAAATTTCAAGTTAATCTGAAAGTATCAAAATTATACTTCTTTATGTGTTTGGCAGTTAATACTATGCAAAGAAAACAGAACGGGCAAGTTGCTCCCATTGTGATCTAATCGTTTGTCTTTAGAAACCAGTCATTCTCAAGGCTGGGGATTAGCACAGTGGTTCCAAAGCCTGCCTGGCAAGCACAACTGGTACCCAAAAAAAGAAAAACCAGTCATTCTCTGACAAAGTACAAAAATCTATAAAACTCATATATGCAGAGTGCTAACCTAAGCAAAGCCTTGTAATTTATTAACAGCATCCCATTTTAAAAACTACATAACAGAAATTATGTTGAATGTCACACCAAGTTATTGCTGTTTTACACAGTAACTTTCTACTGTATGCACTTCCTTCAGTGGACTATATAAGGAAGGGTAAGGATAACTTTGTCCATACACATTTTTGTGAATATAACAAACAAGGCAGTTAATGGCAACAGTGCTGTCCCGGAATATCTTACAGACCAGCTCCAGCAGGTAACCTTTGGTACAGCTCCTTAACCTCTTCGTGCTTTGCTTTTCCTTTATCCACGCTTTGTTTACGCATCTCCGCCATTTCCACACACCACTCCTCAAATTTGGAATTATCTCGATCTACCAGCTCTTGAAGAAAGGCTATTCAAAAGAAAATTAAAAGAAAAACGTATCTGTCTCGATCACATGGCACGTGAGCTAAGCTTCTGGTGACACATTTGTACTATGGCATTCTCTTCTGGAGGCTACCTTGACTCAAAGTAGAAGGGAGAAAGCTATGAAGTTATTGCTCCCATCACCCAGCTTACCATATTAAGTCAACAAGAACCGTCATCCAAAGGATGAGAAGCCCCTTCAAATTACAGTCTAACACTGGTAAGCTGGGTAAACTGACAAAAAAAACCACTGGTGTAAGTCTTCAGCATACGAATTAAACAAAATGACATCAAATGTCTCCCTTGCTCCTGTGCTTCTTTTAAAATTAAGTTTGACCTGTGGGCAAAAAATGGAGTAGTTCCAGAAATGTAAATACGGGCTCCTTTATCTCAAAAGCTCACCACCTTAAAGCAAATCTGTGGTTACTATTTATTAACCTGTCATAATAAAAGCAATGTCCTTAGATTTGGAGCATTGCATTCTAAAATATTTGCCTGATGATGAAAAATACACTACCTGGAACTTCCACGGTTGAGGTGGGCTTCTCTTGGCTTTGCAGTCTATAAACCAACATGTATGCATTTCGAGAACAATGAGTCCCTTTACCACACTTGGGTCTGCGTGTCTGAGACTTTGAGGGTTCTGCTGGGGTAGAGAAATTAAAACAAAATTTAACTACAATGCTCACAATTTCACCCTTTTAAGGGAGGATGAAGAATATAAAGTATCCAAATACATATTGAAATTCTTTAACATGGACCCAATCATTAAACTGTTTCATTGGCCACCTTTGTCAACCACATCACACAGGTTTTTTGTTTTTATCCCCGTAATGGGACCTGAACTCAGAACCTTTGGTGCAGTTGAGCGCTACAACCAACATCCCTTTCTTTTTTCTCTTTTTTTCCCCTTATACCCGGGGATCAACCTCAGGAACTTGTGCTTGAGGCAGGTGTGCTACCACTGAGCTCAATCCCTGGCCCAAGTAAGGCTTTATTCTTAATATGCGTAGCTCAGTAAACAAGCACATGTTTTAGTATTGTTTTTAAATTAGAAAAAGATACAATGTAAATGCAAATTTTTAAAAGCCATCATTTCAAGAAATAAGTTTTTTAACTTAGTTAAGAAAATAAATCTGGACAAACTCTTAAATAAAGGTGTGTTACAAAATGCCAAGGAACAGGGTGATTAGCTACCAGTCCTTAAGTTCAGGAGCAAGTGGAAAATATCAAGATGGTAAGTCTATCGAATGAAAGGCATCTTCAAGTTAGGTTAGAGTACAGTGAAGAGGTCATCCGCAGGTGTAGGGTTATCAAGTCTCAGAGCTTCACTTCCTTACACTCAATACTAAAAGAACTGTTTTATCTTTAGGGCTTTATGGCAGAGAAAACCTAGTATTAGGCTAAAATGTACTAGGATTAAGTATAATACAAATACTGGTGCAGAAGAAATTTTTTTTGTTTTTTGAGACAGGGTCTCACTATGTAGTTGAGACTGAGCTGGAACTCAACTATGTAGCCCAGGATGGTCTCGAACTCCCAGAGATCCTCCTGCCTCAGCCTCCCCAGTGCTGGGATTACAGGCGTGCACCACCACACCTGTCTGGAAGAAATGTTTCTTAGAAAAAAATGTGTTTTAAAATCCCACAGGAGCTGAGGGAGTGAGTCAACAGTGGAACACAGATTAAGTAGGCCTGAGGTCCTGGGTTCAATGCTCAGTACCAAAAATAAAGGGGAAGGAATTGCACTATGGAGTTTCTTTGGCGGGTGGTGTATGAAGATATAGGAGATTGACTGCAGCCCTTTTTTGGAATTGTATTTGAGATAGGGTTACTAAACTGCCCCCAGCTGGGCTTGAATTTAATACTCTTCTTGCCTCAGTCTCCTGTGTGCTGTGACTACAGATATGCACCACTGCAACTGGCTTTTTTTTTTTTTTTTTTTTGAGACTGTCTCACTAACCCAGGCTTGCCCTGAACTTGTGGCAACCCTCTTGCCTCTGCTTCTGGAGCGCTGCAATGACAGGCATTTACCACAGAGTCCAGCCTGTGATGTGTATTTAATTTCATTTCCACTGCTATAAACTACATTATGCAGAGGTGCTCAACACTCATGGCAGGAGGGTTAACGCCTGTCTCCCCCTTGGGTGGCCTGAAACACTGACGGTGAGACCAGACCGTGCAGTACTGTCACATGTCACATGAGTGGCTTTGTAAAGGTGACTGCGTCACTCAAAACACCGATAAACGCGATCCATTTGTATCATCTGTTGTTGGGAGTCATTCTCCATAATTTGGGGGGGGAAATCATTTCATAATTAAATCATGCTTAGGGCTGTCTGAGGTCTGACGTCCTTGCCTCAGAGGACTGGCTATGGCATGTAGAAACATTAACTGTTTTTTCTCTGGTAACACCTGAGGCCTCAGTGGTCCTGTGATGCTAAAGGGCAAGATATCCAGGTTCTTTGAGAACCAAGCAATAAATAAATTTGCTTATTTATTTTTTGGTACCCAGAATCAAACTTGGGTCCCCGTGCTGGCAAAGCAAGCACCAGAACCACTGAGCTAAATCCCTGGCCCCCAAGCAGTAATTTTAAAAAGGAGAAATGTTTCACCTGGTGAGGGACAATAAATCCCTTATCAGTTTAACTCTTCCCACCTACTCATGCAAAAATGTTTTTGCTTTCAATTCACTTTCCTCCTCAGCCTAAGATGGCCATCTCCCTTCGATCACCATCAGCCTAAGATCCTTCCTTCCTCCAAGTAATGTGTGAACCCTAAATCTAGTTCAGAATATCTTTGTCTTTGACCACTCTGGGGCACTGACCCCCGAGCCCCGCCCCATGTTATTATGAAATTAAGCCAAGTCTCTATTGTCTTTTTTATCCCTAGCCATTCCTCCTCCTAGGCAGATTGATCACTCTCCCATAACCAGAGTCCTAGTCACCAGAGTCACCAAATCACACTTCACCTCCTTAGTTAAGGAAAAATGGCATGTGAATTAGTAGGAAGATAACAGGCAGTCTGGATCAATTCTACATGATTTTGGGGGAAAATCATTTCATATTTAACGCATGATTTGGTCTAGATTTCCTGTCCACAGGCCAGCTACAGCAAGGAGACATAACTGCATTTTCACCTCCGGTCACAGCTGAGACATGAATGGTCCCATGACGCTGTGATGCTCCAGGTCAGGCCTACATCAGCTGGAGACATCCAGGGAGGAACCAAATCATGGGCATATCCTTATTGTTCTAGGATCATCTCACCTACCCTGAGTCATTGGTACTTTTGTTTCTCTCTTTTTTTTTTTTGAGACAGGGTCTCACTATGTAATTGAGACTGACCTGAACTCACTATGTAGCCCAGGCTGGTCTTGAACTCACAGTGATCCTCCTGCCTCAGCCTCCCGAGTGCTGGGATTACAGGTGTATGCCACCACACCCGGCTGGTACTTTTGTTTCTGCTGATGTTCTGAATAAAGATATGGCAAGCTCAGGGTCTGGGGTCTTTGCCACCCAGAGAGGCACTAATCAGGTCAAAGCTTAGCTTGTTCTAAGTCTCATTTTCTGTCTATATATTACTTAATCTACTTTCTGCTGTGCTATTGTGGCTCAAAGATTAGAACCTGATGCAAGAGGTTCTAGTAATGTTCTATTAAAGTCCCCTTTCGCTGGTCCCTACAAAAGGGTGGTTGCACTGAGCCCAATGCCTGGGATAACAGCATGTTTATTACATTTCTCACTGAAAAATAACATGGGGTTCTGTTCCAAAGGCCATTAAAAACTATTGTGTTCATATAATGGGGCACTACTTTACAGTTTTTTAAAGCATGGTTAACAAAAGCAACAGCAGACACAAGTTGCAAAAAAAAATTGTGGACCATACAAGCTAGGTATAAAAGAACAATAACATATAACCCACCCAGCATGATGGCACAGGCCTGTAATTCCAGCGCTCGGGAGCCTGACGCAGGAGGATCACCATGGGTTCAATGCCAGCCTGGGATACATAGTGAGTTCAAGGACAGCCTGAACTACATAGTGAGATCCTGTCTCAAATAATCTTTTAGAAAAGCATGTTAGATGAAATCTACTATCTATCATTTTGTTTGCTTAATGACAATGTTTTCCCCTTTGGTGTGAAAAATAAACCGGGTAACTGGACTGATTATTTTCCCGGCAAGCTTTCCTGAAAGCCTGACATTTTGGAACCATCTCTGAATAAAGCAAGCACTATTAATAAAAGATATTCAATAATTTTATGTGTTTCAGAAATGCACATCTTTGACTCCCTGGAGCAATCCTGGGCCACAGCAATGTATCAGAATATTTCTGGTAAAAAATTTATATTTTAAAAGGTCACTCACAACTTAAAGGTTTTACCTAGATCTTCCTCAATCCCTAGTTGTAATTTCTTCCCCTCCATCTTTTCGATGTCTTCATCGTTAAACTTATACCATTCGCCAGACTGCGGATCTTTCACGTGGGCAATGTAGTGGCCAGAGTAAGCACTCACGCCCCTGTGTATGAGGACTGCACTGAGTTCATACACATAGGACCCACCTGGAGGAGAGAGGATGGAAAGGAAATTGTAGGTAACAGTTTACAGCATGACAATGAACAGTAACAATTCGTCCCACACCTGATAGAATTCAAAACATCTCACCTAAGACAGAAGACCTTCATTTTCACAAAATACTGGAGAAACATTCTCTGAAGCAGGTTATCATACTGCATCTCCATCCCCTCCACAATTACACTGGTAATTATAGTACTTTGGGCACTCAGTGGTGGTGACCTGACTCTACAGCACCCTCAATCTTGCAAGAACTATGAGTCACACATTCACTAAGAATCAACCATATTCTGTTACAGAAATTACATGTAATGCCAGATGTGGTGTCACCTGACTGCAACCCCCAGTAGTCGAGACTGAGACAGGAGGATCACTGCACATGTGAGGCCACGCTGGGCTACTACATAGTGACTACACTGCCAGACCTTGTTTCAAACATCAAGAAAATCTGGTTGTGGTTGTACAGGGCTAAAATCCTAGCACTCATGAGGCTGAAGCAGGGAGGATCACTTTGAGTTTAAGGCCAGCCTGAACTACACAGAAAAACCCTGTCTCACCTAAAACTAATCAGATGAATGTAAAGCAAGAAGCTAACATGGTTAGAGAAAGGATGGTAGACTTTGGGGGCAGGGATTAAATCATCAAAAAACAACTACTTTCAGGACCAGGGATTTAGCACTGCCACCTGCCTCATAAGCATAAGGTCCTGAGTTCGATCACTGGTAACAAAACAAAACAACAACAAAAAACTGATGTCCAGGCCAGGCATGGTAGCCTGTCATGCCACCACTCTGAGAAGATAGGAAACCAGAGCCAAATCTCTCAAAAGAAAAAATAAGAGTAGGGGGCCAGGGTTTTAGCTCATTGGCACCACGCCTGCCTCACAACCCACAAGGTCCTTAGTTTGGTCATGGCTCACTGCAAAGGTCCTGATTCAATGCCCAGTGTTGCAAAACACGGGTGCACTTTGTAGGTACTAGGTAGCCAAAGGGTACACACTCCCATTTTAAAGACGATGCTTGAAACTAGCTCCACTGACATAAGAAATCATTTCACAAAACGCACATATATTATTAAATTGTATATACCTCAAGATCATGCCATTTTCCTCATCTGTTGTGCTTCATTAACGCTGGGGTATAAATGCAGGAATAAGCAAGAAAAATGGAAAAATTGGGAGAGATACTGCTAAAAATCTAGAAGGGTTCCCTACTTCTATTTCTTAGTGCGCTAGTTTTGTTTTGTTTGAAACAATGCCTGCTTCACTATGTACCTCAGGCTGGCTTTGAACTCACAGTAATAATCCTCCTGCCTCAGCCTCATCCCAGAGTGCTGGGATAATGGGCATGTATCACCATGCCTGAATTTTTTGTTTTGTTTTGTCTCGTTTGAGACAGGGTCTCACTATGTAGTTGAAACTGACCTGTAACTCACTACGTAGCCCAGGCTGGTCTCGAACTCACAGCAATCCTCCTGCCTCAGCACCCAAATTCTTAATAAGTACTTTACATTCTAGTGCCACCTTAAATTCTTAAAAGGCTGCAAATCACAGATTACATATTATACATGCGATTTACCAAAATAACACTTCTGGGCAAAGGATTTAGATCAGTTGTTCTACCACCTGCTTCGCAAGCGCAAGGTACCAAATTAGATCCCCGGGAGCAAAAACAAACAAAAAAAACAACAACAATAACAAAAAACATTTCGTTCAAATCACAGATTACATATTATACATGCGATTTACCAAAATAACACTTCTGGGCAAAGGATTTAGATCAGTTGTTCTACCACCTGCTTCGCAAGCGCAAGGTACCAAATTAGATCCCCGGGAGCAAAAACAAACAAAAAAAACAACAACAATAACAAAAATAACATTTCGTGCACACATCCAAATACTGGCAATGATGAACAAACAACTACAAATAAATGTTTTAGATCCTGGGAAAAAAACCATTTTTATTTTGAGAAAAGATCTCACTATGCAGGGCTGGGATTTAGCTCAGTGGTTTTAGAGCCTGTCTCAAAAGTTTGATCTCTGGTACTAATAAAAAAAAAAAAAAAAAAAAAAAAATTCACTGTGCAGTTCAGGCTGGCCTTAAACTCATTATGTATGTAGCCCAGGCTGGCCTCAGACTCTGGACTATCCTCCCTGCCAGTGCTGGGATTAATGAAAGTTCTCTGGAAACAGCGGGTGGGGGACGGACCTGACCAGGACCCC